TTTTTAAATTTTAGCCAAGTCCCTTCAGCTGTCCATTTGTTACTATGTATGTTGGGCAGGTGGTGGGGGTGGGGGGAGTGGGATTCAGCAAATTCAGGAACGTGCAGGAGGAGCCAGGCATGCATGTCTGTAGAGTCGGAACTGGACTCAAATTAATTCACCTTGTTTGTAAATTATTCAGACTAAGGATTGTGCAGTACCCTTTCAAATTTTTCCAGGTGACATTCATGTAGCCCACTGTTTTAAGAGATGCTCTGTTAGAGGAGATAGTTCAACTTTTTAGGTCTCAATTACCACTTCAAGGGATATTCGCCATCCATAGCTGTGTCTTATTATCCATAAAACATGAGAGCACCTAGGATTCCATTTGTATAACATTAAGAGGACAAAACTACAGAGCTGAGAGTAGATGAGTGGCCACTGGGCGTTAAAGATAGGGTCGGGAAGGAGGTGGGAGTGGTTATAGAAGAGCAATCCGCGGGTTCTTGTGATGGAAATGGTGTATCTCTTGACAGTGGAGGTGGATACAGAAAATAACCATGTGATAAAGTTGCATAGAACTAAACACACATATCCACAAAGGTCCAAGGAAAACTAGGGCAATCTGAATAAGGCTGTTGGATTGTATCAATGTCAATATCCTCGTTGTGCTATTATTGCTCATCATTATTGTACAAGATGTCATCATAGGGGGAAATTGACTAAGAGAGACATCACAGACTCTCTCTATACTATTTCTGTTAACTGCATGTGAATCCAAATTAACTCCAGATAAAAAGTTTAGTTAAAAAAAATGTTAGCGCTGCTATGTCTAACACTTAGTGGTATTTGTTGAATTGAACCATTTATTTTATTGGTGAATTATTATCAATTTTTAGTTATTAGCCAATTATTATCTAAGTAATAGGTTACATAATGACAGTATGTTTCCACTTAACTTTATGCAATGTACTAGAAGCTTCCTCCTTGTCCTTATAGTCCCAGTTTGTAGACATTAGTCACACTGCACTTGTGGCTCTTGCCTATGGACTAAAGATTTCCCATTTTTTTTCATCCAATCTCAGTGTTGCTTTGTTTAAAACTTCTCTCTCCCAGTCCTTTACCTGTGCATTTTTTGCTTTCTAATGCTCATGGGATAGACCACAATGTGTTTTTAACAAAAAAATAAAAAATAAAATAAAATAAATAACCGTTACAAATAAACTGGACATATATACAGAGTACCACGTGATATTCCAGTACATATATTCATTATTTCATATTCAAATTGGGTTAAACCCACTCTTGCAACAAGTGTCTTTTTTTTTCTTCATAGTGAAAATCCTTCCTCTAGCTTTTAAAAATTATCTACAGTACACTATCATCTATGGTCACCCTAATGTGCAATAGCTCAAGAGAACTTCTTGCTCCTGTCTAACTATAACACGGTACCCCTTACACCACTCTTCCCTACATCTCTCTTCCTCCTACTTGCCACAGTCTCTGGTAATTGCCATTCTGTCAAATCAACGTTTTTAAATTCCACACATGAGTAAGATCATGGGGCATGAGTCTTTCTGTGCCTGGCTCATTTCACATAACAAAATGACCTCCAGAATTATTTGTGTTGTAGCAAATGAGGCAGTTTTCGTCTAAAGGAAGCAATTCTTAATGACAGAACTTCCTGTAGTGTGATTGGGGATTTGTTTGAGAAATGAAAACTTTAGTGTATCTCTCAAACCCCACCATATACTCTAGCTCTTGTTAAGAATCCCTTTGCTTTGCCACGAGGAAGGGTGAGCTCCTGAGGTTCTAGAAGCTGGTTAAGAAATAGTTAAGGAAGAGAAAAAAGAAACAGAAAATAAACCAGGAAAACAAGGATAAGATAGCAATAGTAATTATCAAGATTTCTTGGCTCATCCAGGCAGAAAATCAATAAGGAAACACTGGACTTGAACTACACTTTAGACCAAATGGACATAACAGACATATACAAAACATTTCATCCAACAGCTGCAGAATATTCATTCTTCTCAAGTGCACACAGAATATCCTCTAGGAGAGACCATATATTGTGCCGCAAAACAAGTCTTAACAAATTTAAGAAGATGGAAATCATATTCAATTCTTTTTTCTGACCACGATGGTATAAAACTATAAATCATTAATAGAAGAAATTTCAGAAAACTCAAATATGTAAAAGGCAAAGAATTTATACAATCTGGAAAGAGACCAGGGTATAAAAAAATTCATAAATATGTAGAAATAAAACAACATACTCCTGAACAACCAATGAGTCAAAGGAAATCAAAAGGGAAATTAAAAAATATCTTGAGACAAAATTGAAACACAACTTATCAAAACTTATGGGTTGCAGCAAAAGTAATTTTTAGAGGGAAGTTTATAAGCAATAAACACATTTAAAAAAAGAAAAAAAGAGTAGACTGGTAGAGTACTTGCCTAATACAGGTGAAGTCCTGGGTTCTATCCCCAGCATAACACATACACACACAAAATCAAATAAACAACTAAATATCACACCTCAAGGAACCAGAAAAAGAAGAATAAACTAAGCCCAAAGTTGTTTTTTATTTGTTTTGGGTACTAGGGATTGAACACAGGGGCGCTCAGCCACTAAGCCTCATCCCCAGCTCTTTTCATTTTTTCTTTTGAGACAAGCTCTCCTTCAGTTGCTTAAGGCCTTGCTAAATCGCTGAGGCTGGCTTTGAACTTACAATCCTCCTACCTTGTCCTCCTGAGCTGCTAGGATTGCAGGCAGGCACCATCACACCCAGCTCAAAGTTGTTTTTATCAGAAAGAAGGAAATATATTATCAGAGTGAAAATAAATGGAATAGTGACTAGAAAAGCAGTAGGGAAAAAATTCATTAAACTTAGGGTTTTTTTTTTTTTTTTGAAAAGATAAACAAATTGACAAACCTTCAGCTAGACCAACAAAAAAAGAGAAAACTCAAATAAAACCAGAAATGAAAGGAAGGACATTACAACTGATACTGCAGAAATACAAAGGATCAAACTACCACTATTGGTTGCTGATTTCTGTTAGAAAATCTTAATAGACTAATAATTAGTAAAGAGATTGAATCAGTCACCAAAAATCTCTTATCAAAGCTAAGTCTAGCACCTGATGACTTCCTGGCTGAATTCTATCAAACATTTAAAGAACTAGAATCAATTCTTCTCAAACTCTTCTAAAAAATTGAAGATAGAGTGCTATTTCTAAATGCACTTAATAAAGCCACAATTATCCTGATACCAAAGCCAGATGTGGGCACTAAAAAAAGAAAATAATAGGCCAACATCTCTGATTTATATATATATACAAAAATTCTCAAAAAATAAAATAACTTACATCTACAGCATATTAAAAATGGGATTGATCCCTGGGATGCAAAGATGGTTAACATATATGCAAATCAATAAATTTGATACACTGCATTAACAAAACGAAGAACCAAAATCATATGGTCACCTCAATAAATTCAGAAAAAACATCCAGTAAAATTTAGCATTGTTTTATGATAAAAACATTCAACCAATTGGGTATAGAAGAAATATATCTCAACACAGTAAAACCATGTGTGACAACTCCACAGCTTACTCAATGGTCAAAAATTGAAAGCTTTTCCTGCAAGTTAAGTACCAAGGCAAGGATGCCCACACTCACCACTTCCCCAAAATAGTACTAGGAGTCCCAGCCTGAGCAAATAAGCAAAATTAATAAATAGCACCTAAATAGGAAAAATGAAATTACATTGATATGGCACACAACATCATCCTATATATAAAGCCCTGAAGACCCCACCAAAAACCCTGTTAGAACTAATAAATCAATTCAGTAAAATTACAGGATACAAAATTAAAGTATAAAATTCAGTGACATTTCTATATACTCATATTGAACCATCTGAACAGAAATTAATAAAACAATCCCATTTAGCATCAAAATCACTTGCATAATTTTAAACAAAGGGCTGAAAGGTCTACACACCAAAAATTTCAACATATTAATGAAAGAAATTAAGAAAGATACAAAGAAATGGAAAGCTCCTGTATTCATGAAAAGGGGGAATTAGTATTGTTAAAATATCCATAATACTCAAAGCAATCTACTGATTCAATAGAAACCTTATTAAAATTCCAATGATTGAGTTGTTTGGTTTTTTTGGTGTTAAGTTTTTTGAGTTCTTTATATATCCTGGAGATTAGTGCTCTATTTGACATGTGTGTGGCAAAAATTTGCTCCCAAAATGTAGGCTCTCTCTTTACCTCATTGATTGTTTCTTTTGCTGAGAAGCTTTTTAGTTTGAATCCATCCTATTTATTTATTCTTGATTTTATTTCTTGCACTTTAGGAGTCTTGTTAAGGAAGTCAGGGCCTAATCTGACATGATGGAATATTACTCAACATTAAAAGAGAATAAAATTATGGAATTTGCAGGTATGGATAGAGTTGAAGAATATTATGCTAAGTGAAGTAAGCCAATCCCCCAAAGAACCAAAGGCCAAATGTTCTCTATGATAAGTAGATGCTGATCCATAATGGGGACAGGGGAGGCATGGGAAAAATGGAGGAACTGGATTGGGCAAAGGGGAGTGGGTGGAGAGGTACACTAGGGCAGGAAAGATGGTAGAATGAGATGAACATCATTACCCTAGGTACATGTATACTGAACGTATGGTGTGACGCTACATTGTGTACAACCACTGAAATGAAGTTGTGTTGCAATTGTATACAATGAATCAAAATGCATTCTACTGTCATATATACCTATTTTAAATAATTAATTAAAAAATTCCAATGACATCTTTCACAGAAATAGGAAAAGCAATCCTAAAATTCAAATAGAACCACAAAAGACCTAGAATAGTCATAGCAATCTTGAGCAAAAAGAAAAAAATCCAGAGACATTATATTATCTGATCTCAGAATATACTACAAAAGCTATAATAATCAGAATAGCATAATAATCAGAATAACAAAAACAGATATACAGACCAATGGAACAGAAAGAGAACCCAGAAATAAATCCACTTCTAAATCTGTGATCAATTGATCTTTGATAAAGATGCCAAAAATATAAATTGTAGGAAGGATGATCTTTTCAATAAATGATGCTTGGGATTACTGAATAGCCACATCAGAAGAATAAAATTGGAACCTCATCTCATCCCACATTAAAAAAAAATCTATAAATGGATTAAAGACTTAAAATCAAGATCTGAAGCTGTAAAAGTACCAGAAAAAGACACAGGAGGAAAAAAAAAAAAAAAACTTCCGGCATTTGCCTAAGTAAAAAGATTTTTGCATGTGACCCCCAAAACATAGACCACAAAGCAAAAATAGACAAACGAAGAGCCATCAAACTAAAAAGTGTGTGAGCAGCAAAGGAAACAATAAATACAGTGAAGAGGAATCCTCTTTCATATGGTTTATTATATGAAAAACTTGAGACAGATTAAACTTGACAAATTTAATTGAAAAAGAAATGATTCCAGAGTTGGGCAGCCTTGAAAACTAGAATAGGTTTGGAGTGACTCTGGATCTGTCGGGTGGTGGGATAACATTTATAAATAAAAAAGAGGATATGGGGTACCAAGAAAGCCAGATTGATTAAAAGTTGGGTTTGTCTTTTGTAAACACGGTTTGAATCACCAGCTGCCTATGGTTGCCTGAAGCTCGGCTGCTCTGATTGGCTGAGACTCAGCTACTTGTTATGAGGGTAGATTACACCCTCTCTACACATCAAGTTAGGTCGCGGTTTGCTATGTATGGTGAAATCTTTAGGACAAACTTAATCAACATCTGGAAGCAAGTTTAGGCAAACTGAATTCAGTTTAACACTATTATTTTTTAAAAGACAGGGAATAACAAGTGTTGATGAGGATGTGGAAAAGGAGGAACTCTTCCACACTCTTGGTGGGAATATAAATCAGGACAGCCACTATGGAAAATGGTATGGAGATGCCTCAAAAAATTAAAAATATATCTGCCATCTGATCCTGCAATTTTACCTCTAGTTCCATATGCAAAGCAAATAAAGTGCTTGCTCCAAGACCAACCAGCTAGTACATGAGCAGAACTGGGCTTCAACCCCAGGACTCTCTGATTCCAAGTCTGTGCTCTTTCCTGTGGTTACCAACACAGACTGCTTCTCCCTCAGTCACAGGGGCCATATTCCATGTCTTAAACACACATCTTCTTCCTTCCCTGGGTCTCTGCTCACACCATTTCTGTGTCTGGAAGCTCTTCTCTTGAAGGACCTTCTCCTCTTTTGGGTCTTGGCATAGGAGGTTCCAACAAAGTAGTGTCTTCTTGGCTTTCTTACCTCTGTTCTTGGTTGGTTTCCTTTGCAGCACTCACTTCGATATAAAATTGCTTCCTTTCCTTTTCTGCATACTGTTTCTATCTCTTCCTGCCACTAAAATGCATGTCCCAGAATACTGAGAATCATGTCTCTCTCTTTTAACATTGTATTGATAAATCCTAATACAGTGCCTAGAATATAGTCAATAAAAATTCATTGAATAAAGGAATGAATGGATAAGTGAATGCACTAGCATTGTATACCCCCATATATTATCTCATTTAATAATGGGACAAGCAAACATAAAGGAAAGGACAGAGAAAGGTCAAATTTATCAGATAATAGCAAAAGCTCACTCCTCACATGCCTCAAATGGCCTCCAGTGCGGGGGTGTCTCCATTGATAGGAGAGTCTGAAGCCTGTACAGACATGTGCCATCCTTACAGAAATGGCTGTGTTTTTCCTAGGAGAGATGGGGAGAAAACTAGCAGTTCAACATGCAAGTCACATCACGATGACAAACACCTCCAAGCTCTCCTCTCAAGGACACTGGAGATCAGGCAGGACTGATATCCATCAAAGATGTCAGAGATGTCAGCCAAGTCCTGTCAGCCACACTCTGTCCTGATGCTACTGAGTTCAATTGGTCTATGCCCATGGGCTCTAGGCAGAACTGTGATGCCAACAATTAAATCATCCAAGCTGGATGAGTGGAGCAGGCACGGTCAGGTTCAATGAAGGCTTTCTAACATTGCCATGACATCCTTGCCACCCTCAAATGACCTGCCCCAGGCACATGTACTGGGGACTGTTACTTAGCACTGCCGTTCTCACTGAGCAGCTGGCCAAAGCTAGTTCAAGGTAGTGAGGCTAGAGTTAGGTTCAGGGTTGCCAAGATCAGGAAGGAGCAACAGATCCTTCCTTGGGAGGTAGTGCCATCTCCGCCGGATGACTCAAGGCAATACTTGACAGGGCTCTTCTAAAAGGGAACCCAGCTTCTCCACTAGCCCAAGTTCCACCCTCACCGAGCTTAAACCCCTGGACCAGCTCTAATGTCATCCAGAAAGCAAATGGATTCAGCATGGAACCCAGGTCCACCTCTGCCAACATCAGGTAACACTGGAATCATTTGACCTCCACTAGAAAATCTCCTCTTCTTGCATCTTATACAGAATCTAACTTCTCTATTGTTACCTGCTAATATTAATTATGATCATCATTGTTGTTACCATGGTTGTCCTCCTCCTCCTCCAATCATCTCTTAAGTTTTAAGTATACCTTTAGAGCTTCCAAATCATCTTTAGACACATGGCCTCATTTAATTCTGACAATAGCTTTCTCATTTTGCACAAAAGGAATGGATTACTGGGACTTTTGTCACAATGGCTAGAAACCCAATTCATAGCAGCTCTAGCCCAGCAGGGGAGATTTTGCTAGGATACAGGCAATCTCATAAAACCCAGACACAAGCAAACAGCTGGGCATCCAGAACACGCTGGAGCTGGGCGGACCGAGCTCCAGGGACTCTGTTACCTTCTTTTGTCTCCAATCTGCTTTGTTTATTTCTCATGTATGGATTGGTCTCCTCTACCACCCAAATACTCCTAAGTGTTACATGTAAACCATCTGCACATCCACTCACAGATTCACATTCTTCTCTCTCTCCCAATACAAGTCACTCAGTCCACAGATTCCCCAGGGAAAGAACTGTGGGCTCATCCTTAGACCACTCAAGTAAAATCTGCCCACCACATGGTGCTTCAAAGTTGAAGTGCTTATTATCATTACTGATATCATTATTGATATTGTTTTTATCATGCAAAGTTATATTGTCGGTAAGACTTGAAGCCAGATATCTAGGGACTTTCCCCTGAAGTTCAAGTGTGTCCCAGGGGCAACACTGTATTCAGTCTCTGCAGTAGTGTATCTTTGACATCCACTCCTGCTTGGCAGGGAGTTGGTTCTTCATTTAAAAAAAAAAAAAAAAAAAAAGGAAAACAGTTGTGTCCACTGTCTCTAGAACCAACACCAGAGCAGCGTCTTTCTCTAAAGGACAAAAAAACCCAAAAGACATGGAAAACTGTCTTGCAGCCCAGAGGGGCTCCTCCTGCTTCTCAAAAAGTGGAATGGGCTGTGCACAGTGGTACACACTTGTAACCCAGTGGCTCAGGAGGCTGAGGGCAGGAGGATCGCAAGTTCAAAGTGAGCCTCACCCACCAATGGCGAGGCGCTAAGCAACTCAGTGAGACTCGAAATAAAATACAAAATAGGGCTGGGGATGTGGCTCAGTGGTTGAGTATCCCTGGGTTCAATAAAAAAAAAAAATGAAGAAGAAGAAGATGGAAGAAAGTGGAATGAGGTCACATCACCCTCCAGAGACGGGTTCTTCGCCCTTCACACCATCGCTCACCTCCAGTGCAGCTTCAGAAACCGCACTTTCCCCTGGCTCTGGTAAGTGCAGAGAAAGGAAGGGCAGTGGGCCCTGCCACATCTGCAGAGCAGTGTTGGGAGCTGCTGTGAGAGCACAATAGCCAGTAGCTGGGGGCCTCAAGCAGGTGGAGGTGACAGCATCTGATGTCTCTCCAAGCAGGGCGCCAACCCCGTGTGTGGCAGGGGCAGAGCTCGCATAGCCCACAAGGAGCCAGCGGGTTTAGTGGACCCTGTCTAAGGACCAAACTTACATGTGAGTGGAAGAATTTTTAATTTCTATGGTAATAAGGAGCTTAAACTCCAGTTCTATTTACAGGCTAAACTTATGTGCTATATCCCTGTGCCCCAGGCTGATCACTGTGATATGCAGATTTACCAGGGGCTGGCAGGGAGCAAAGGGAAGCTACTTGAGGGGGATTTACAGTTAGAAGATGAAAAGAACTTCATGATTAAAGGGGCTGAGAGATACTGAAACAGGGACAGGCATTGAAGGGAGAGGCCTTAAAGGCCTACTGAAAATGAGCCAGGTGGAGTCCAATTCACCTGCTGGAAACTCCAAAACTCTCGAGTTGGCCATGTGGGTAAGGCAAGTGCCCTGGTAAGACTCCTCAGGGCTCTCTGCTAATCTAATCTGTGGTTCACAGACAGCAGTGTGCACCAGGATCTCAGGGCACCCGTCCAAACTCTTCATACCTGATCCTTTTTGGCACTCCTAAACAAGCTTGTTTCTGCCTTTTGGCTGAAATATATATACTAGTTCGATATATGAAGGGTAAAATTCATTATCTAGCTGGCACTGGATGGCAGCTTCCGGGGCAATGGAAGGATTAATAGATTTACATAAAGAAAGCCTCCAGCCAGCTCCACATTCCTCAAGATACCCCACTATGTAACAGGAGAGTGCTGAGGTTAAGGGGAATCTTCGAGAAAACAATCCCCCGTTTTATCAAGGCCCAGAGTTCAAATGAGCACATCAAAGGAGGCCAAGTAAAAGTTATCTCCTCTGTTTGCATGTCCCTTCAAGGAAGCCTAGTCCAAAAAATAAATAAATAAATAAATAAATAAATACAATGAAAATAAAATAAAAGATTGTCAAAATGTTCGACAGAATGAAGGTAGCTGGAGTAGAAAGAACCATAACCCAAATAGTTATTTGCTCAGGATGTAACTTCTGTATTAAAAATAGTCAAAATGGTATTTCTGGAAGGTAATTTGATA